CTCCTACAGCATCACCATGCTTAAATTCTATTTTTGCTTAGAAGACATACGCATAGATTTTAGTCAAAATAGAACACATATCTCAAGTGTACAATTAAAGTTTAAGTCTACAAACACTTGTGCAAAAGAAAAAAAAAAAAAATTAAAAACTTTACATAATTAAGAAAATTTATGATGCATTGTGATGCTTTTAGACAAATGCTCACTTGGGAGATTTCCATTATGGTTTTCCAGGACTTGAAGAATCTGAGGAAACAACTTTACTCGGCTGCAGATCGTTTCGAGTCATCCTACAACAAAACCGATCACAACCAAATGTACGGCATTTTTCCATTTATAGAAAGTTACTCGATCCTATTTCCAAATACGTGCTCTTCTTCTTCTTCTTCTTCTTTTTTGTTAAAAGAGTATTTAGCTAAAATGTGTGTTCATGCTTGTTACACAACAGTGTGATTCAACTGTCAAAAGATTACATTGCAAAAGCTCTCGTGAGTACCGTTGATCACTTGGGCTCCATGGCCGATAAGCTCAACAAGTCGTTGAATGAAAGGGCCAGCGAATTTTGTTCAGCCGATGCACAATTTGCTTTCATCGAGCAGGTACTTATTAAAAACCTTCTCGTTTTCAAGGTCATCTTTAGCTTCTGTGTTCTATCAAGAAGAAAGAAAAAAAATATATATCTATATACCATTTAACAAAAATAGTAGCAAAAAAATAGGAAAGAATTTAATGCAACCTATAAATAGTAAGTTTTTTTATTTTTTTTATTTTTATCTTTAAAAAATCATACAACATTAAATGTTACATTAAATTTTAGGCTTTAATTCGTTTATTATTTAAAAATTTAAGCTAAGATCTATTAAGTGTGCATTTTTTATTTTTATTATTTTTTTAAAAAAACAACGAAAAACATTAAAATCTCAGTCTCTATATTTATAAAATCTCAATTCAAAAGGTAATAAAAATTTTAGATATCGGTCTTTATATTTATTCCTTTCAAAAAAAAATATTGAATGCTATTCTTTAAATATCATTTTCCACTAAGCATCACAATTTTTTCATTTGGAACGTGTGATAATATATTGTTTTTTCTTAATACTTTGTAGTGTTTAAAATATCACTTTGTAATCTATATATATATATAATTACTAGCTAATAGCATTTAATAAAACCTATTTAATTTTACCTATGTGGCAATTTAACAATTTTTCCTCCAAAAACCGTTACATTTTGATGTATTTAATCTTTCATTTAATCATTAAATAATTGATACTCATCACTTCAAAATTACAAGAATTATTTTAAACTTTTGGTTAATGACAGTTGACCATATAATGTGTTGACCGTATAATGTGATTAGATGTTATTATTGTTGTTACATTTAATTTTTTTTTTGAAAATAAAAAATATATTTGAAATTCCTAAACAAATAATAAATAATTCACAAATAAAAGACGTACCAAAATATGCATTACATCCAATCAGATAAACGCAATTTAAAAAAAAATATTCCAACTCTTTTAGTAGTAAATTTGGTCTGCAAAAAAGTGAAAGAAAAATAATTAATCATTATATGCATAGAGACTCACAATAATTTATTTATATATGTGCAAATGCACAGGTCGAATACTAGTGTTTATCAATACTTTGTTTATTAATCTATTGTTTTCTCTATACTCGGTTTCAAAAGGTAAAATAATTTTCAAATTCTCAGTCTCAATAATTGTGCGTTTAAAATAAAAAAAATTAACGATAATATATTATTTGTTAATAGTACACAATTTTGAAAACTCCATTATAAATTGTATGTTGATCTCCAAATCATTTTATAAATATAATCGACTTTGTTAAATCTCCACAAAAATATGGTAAAACAAAATGAGACGATCAGCTTTGTATGAAAATAAAATAAAATTAATAAATCAATATGAAGTTCATAGAAAATTAACATAATGAATAATTTGTATAGTACACGGATCTAATAAATAATACTCATGTGGATTCTAAAATTCAAACTAATAGTTATCATCATCTCTGGAAATTGAATAATATATTATAGACAAGATTTTTTTAAATAATTTTAGACATGCTTTATTTATAAAATAGTTTAGAAAAATTTTAGGTGAATCACATCCTTCAATAATAATATATAAAATTTTAGATACTTTACATACGTTATATTATATAATATTTTAGGTGTTTTTAATATTTTAAACATATATTTTTTATGTTATTTTATACAAGATAATTTAATATTGTTTACAACTGATATACGATAAATTACGTTATATATTAACTCTACATCTTAATTACAACTATGAGTTAATATTGTTTACCCGTGCATCGCACGGGCTACACACTAGTAATAATTATAAAGACTAAAGAAAAATGTTTGAATCATAGAGATTAAGCATGTTTCAAGAATTCATCGGCTCGGATGCCTTTTCACGACAATCGTTAATGATGGAAAATGTCGGCCACCAAAAGCGCTACGTTCTTCAAGGCAAGTTACGATGATAATGAACTTTTAGGAACAATTTACAGTTTTAGTTGAAAAATTCTACTGAGGTTTTTTCGAGGGAACGATTTAAACAAACAGCCGAAGAAATAAATTTTAGGCAAAAATGCATTTTTAGTCATGTTTATTTAACGGCATAGCAATTTTAGCTCTAAGGTTTCAACTTTTCGCTTTTTAGTCATGTGATTTAATATTTTGCTGCAATTTCAGTTCTCAAATGATTGAAATTACAATAAAATTTTAAATTACAGGATTGAAATTGAAACAAAATTTTAGATTATAGTACTTAAATTGCAACAAAATATTAAATCACAGGCCTAAATTTTACCACTGTAAATTGCCAGACAAAGACTCTCTGAAGGTTTATGAAGTAAATGAAGACAAGTCATTTCCTAAAGAGTTTCAAGGAGCAAGAAAGAAGCCATTGGGTCAGCCATTGTTGAGGTGTGTAATTTGTAATAAATGCTTCTTTAGTTTTCTCAAAATTTTCATCAGAAACTTTGAATATCAAACAGTAGTNTCGTTCACAAAAATTGTACCCAACAAGGAAGCAGGTTCGTCTAAATTGGCTCAAGCACACACACACACGAAAAAAAGGGACTATTTTCATATATATTGTGAAGAAAACAAAGCTAACCTCAAACAAACTGATAAAATGCTCCAAACACTGAATAGATTCTTGAATAGCTTGTTTTTCGTTCTTCACTAACAAACCACTCGTCCATTTGTTCTTTCCTTTTTATTACCGAAGAAAAAATCGGGAGGCGCTCGATTTCACCATTTCGCTTAATCCCGCGCAATCGGCCAGCTTCCGACACGAAAAGATCACTTTCTCCAAATCTGATCAGTAGACCGAGGGTAAGCAATAAATACATGCATGACAATGAAAAAAAGAAAAGGAAAAAGAACAAAGAAAAAAGTTACAAAACAATCTACTATATATATATATATATGAAAGATAGAGTTCACCACATCAATTTTCTTTTTATTTTTTTATTTTTTCAAATGAGATTTTATACAATGACTGCATGCAGTGGCCATCAGAGCCAAGGAGGGCAGTTTCGGAATGTAGAAGACAACAAGAGACGAAAAACAGAGATAAAAAGGAGATGGAAACTTACACAACTTCGGCAAGCAAACAACTGTTCAAGGCCTTGATCAACGTCCACCGATCGGGAAAAGATATTTCACACGAACGCATAGTAAAGTGATTGCATAACAACACTATGTGGGCATAAAAAAGTCACGGTCTCGTTTAGTCAGTCTCCTTCCCTTAAGATCATAACCAGTATTGTTTCTCATCATGCACTCGTTCGAAGTTATTAAGGATTCTCAGTTCTTACAATAACAAATATCACTCACCTGCATCATTTAGATCATTGCTAGAAGCAACATTTCGTACGGAATTTGGGTTTGTAACACTAGTTGAAAATGTTTACTCTTTGTAATACTTTCGACTCTCAATGCACAAAAGGCTGACTTACACGTTAGCTTTTGTCATCTGTTGGCTAAGTACTTATACCGTAAAAGCTGTTTACATAAGAATTCATAGAGTTATTATTCCAACCGTCCAAACAACATTAGAAGGCAACTTTGAAGCTTTACTCTAACAATTTTGTCATAATGCCATAATGGCACAAATTTTACGCTCGTCAACCAAGACAGGAACCACGAAAATCAAGAAAACAAACAACCCCAATCACATTTTTTAACTTAAAAAAAAAAATCTCCTGATAGGATTCAATTTCAATTATTGGCAGTCTAGTGCAAAAATTACTAAGCAAAGCAAAATGGGATAATCATCACATAAAAGTAAAAGGTGACAAAACTATCTCCTCTTCTTTCCACCCTTCCCGGATTTGGTAGCACCAGCTGCTGACGACGAGGCAGCCTCTTGCTTCTTGGTTCGGCCCGAATGTCGAGGCACCAACTCCGCAACATGAAGCATTAGTTGTTTTCCTACAAGACAAATTTAAGCCAATGAACGCCAGATATTTTACCAGGCAATGGAAATTACGAAGCACAAGAATCTCAGAGAAGAAAACTAAATTGCATGCTCACAGGGACAACATCCATTAACTTATCAGAGTATTGTTTGCTATAAAAGGCACGGAACAACGTATACCTCTCTTTTAGAATATGTAAAACGGTCCAGTAACTATAGTATCCAACAAGCTTGTGTAAAGGGGCAATCATGTAATTCTTATAAAACAAAGTTCATCTTAGGCAGTAATTTTCCTAACTAACCTTCGTTAGATGGTAGATACCAGATAGACACTTTTAGCCATCAAGTTATAGTTCGACATGCTCCAAACAGTAAACAAACGTTTCCAGAGCAGAAAATATCAACAGAGCTATGTCATGTAAATAAGAATGCACATTGCACAGATGAAGGTTTGACAGCTTCGGTATGGTCCTTCAATAAATATAATCAAATCACTTTGAACAATAGCAAAACATGTAAATCCTTATAATGTTCTTGGATTTGACTACAAATGGAACACAGAGCAGATGCATGCTTTCTACTTTCTGCCACAAAAAATTGTCTATGGATTCATTTGAATTGATAAATATACACTTTAAATTCCAAATTACCAATCCATTGAGGTTTTCCTTGTATGGCCATCATCCAAAGGATTTGCAAATCCTCCATAGATATTTTATGCATCATTTTGGAGGATTCTAAACCCACTCAAGAAAAAAACATCGATTCAAGGTCTCTTTCCAAATCCACGTCTTTCAATATTGCTAACCCGAAAATCACAATCTACTCAATAAAACATCCCACATTATATCAGAACTACATAAAATGATACAATAAACAATGCAAACATGACATAACTGATAAAAACTCGAATCACAACAACTTACTCGAAGAAACGGTCGGATTGCAGAGGCTCCCATCTTCCCTTTTCAACAGAACCCTAACTCTCCCCTTTTGCATAAAATCCCTCGGATAAGCCTTCTCACTCTAACATCAGATATTTTACATGCCCATTAAAACCAATACACAAATCAATGGACACAACCCACGTTCAAAGAGGGGAAAAAGAAGGAATGAAATAAAACAACGACTTGTTCAGAGACTGAATGATCGATCATAAAAAGCAACTCGAGATATACCTCAATCGCGCAGGGCAGCTTGAGGTGGACGCAGCAATCGTATATCTCGGCGCAGGTAGGGTTTTCGCATGCTTTACCAGCATTGATCCGGCGACCCTCGGCAAGGGTTTTCTTCGAGTTAATGTAAATTGGGTAAAGGACTACCCATTTCTTAATATTCTGCAAATCCACATCCATTAATCTTCCCTCCGATCACCAAATTCCAGAAATAAATTAAAAAATAAGAAGAATTTGGACTGTAAGAAAGGGAATACGAGATAAAAATCTCATAATCTGTTCTATATTTCTTAATAATGCAAGAGAACACAATAAATAGAGTCCAAAACAATTAGCCAATGCTTGGATATAAAATTTTTTGGATTTGTTTGGATTTTTTGGTTTAGTTTGGTTAATTTTGAAAAAAGTGGTATGGTTAATTGTTAGTGGATATATTAAAATAATATTTAAAATAAAATAATTAAAGTTGATTTGATATAAAAGTATGAGAGAGAGATTTGAAGTGATGGTCAGTTCAAATTATGTGAGTGGATGAATAGTGAATTAAGGTTGACGTCTAAGAATGATTGGTTGGTATTATTTAATTATATTAATAATATTAATGATAGTTGGGTTGAGTTAAAGTTGAGCTAAAAAAATGGTTGAGTTAAAAATGTTTGGATTTTTTGGATAAATTTTGTATCCAAGCATAAAGAATCCTAATCTTTCTAAACAAGTAAATAAATATGTTAATAAGGAAATGGTTACAATCCCGTGAGATAGGACTGCAAACGAGCCGAGTCGAATTGAGCATTGGCCTTATCGAGTAGGATTGACTTTTTTTTTTTGCTGCTCGAGCTCGAGCTCGACTCGAGAAAAAATTACAATAGCTCGAGTTCGGCTCGAAAATTTTTAAGTGAAAAGGTAAAATTACCATTAAAGACCTATGTTAATATATAAGGGGGTATTTTAGTAATTTATATGTATCTCGAGCCGCTCGACAAGACAAAATATGGGCTCGAGCTCGACTCGAGTTCGGTCAAACTTGATTATGCCATAAAAAACAATTAACTAATTTTAATAAAAAAATTTAAAGGATTTGATTATGCCATAAAAAATAATTAACTAATTATAAAAAAAAAATGCTTAATGAGGTGAAAAAAAATAATTTTAAATATATAGTTTAAAAAAGCTTTAGATTAGAATAACATTTAATGTGCTTTCATTATTAGTTAATAATATTAACAATATAATAAAATAAATAAAAAATATAATTGTGATTAATGCAAAAGTAACGAAAAAAGACAAGAAAACAAAAGTATAGTTAATGTGGTGTAAAAATTAGTGATAAATAGAATTGTGTCATTTCACAGATTTGAAATGACTATTATTTGATATCCTACCAAAAATTTTTGGTGTCCAGTTAGCGACAACACTTGTGCAAAAAATGCAAGAAGATCCTCATAATTTTATTTTATTTAATAAAAAAGGGAAAAAATAGAAAATAGCGAAAAAAATTGAAAATAAATAAGGGTTAATTATAAATAAAATCTTAACTTTTTGTCTAATTGCAAATAAAGCTCAACTTTTTCAATTTAACAAAAAAATACCAAACCTTTAATGAGTGTTGTAATTGTGTCTCAATCACCTTCCGCCGCCGCCGGAACGCCGCCAACCGCTACCCGCCGCCGGCCAACTTCGCCGAATGTTGAAAATTTTTATATGATCTTGTAACTCTCATCCGTGCCGACAACATATCCGAGTTTCACGAAAAAATTTCGACAATAAGGAGATGACCGGAAAAAATCACCGATTCCGGCGAAGGTGGACGTCACTAGATGCGGCTTTGCGAGAGGAGCTCAACGGTACCTTGGGTTTCACGTGGGTCAAAGCGAGTCACCGGGAATTTGCAAAAGAACGTCGGAGAAAATTTATAAATCTGCGAGCTTTAACCGAAAAATTAGAAGTCTTATTGTCGGAATTGTTTCGTGAAACTCGAATATGTTGTCGGCATGAAGGAGAGCTACAAGATCATGTAAAAATTTTCAACATTCAATGAAGTTGGCCGGCGGCGGTTGGCGGCAGTCCGGCGGCGGCGAAAGGTGATTGAGACACAATTGTAAATTATTAAAGGTTTCGTACTTTTTTGTCAAATTAAAAAAGTTGAGTTTTATTTACAATTAGTTAAGATTTTATTTACAATTAACCCAATAAATAAAGGGTAAATGGGTTAAACTTAAACGAGAACCCAAGGCATAGACTCACAGCTCCCGCTACTCAGTCCGCTTTCACGACTCCATCGACGGTGGTGAGGCGGCGAAACCCAAGCAAACCCGCGACCTACGCACTCAAAATGGTCAAGGGCAGTGGTTTTCTGCTAAAATGCACCACCGGCGCCGGAATAAACGCGACCCTCGCCGAGATTCTAGTTTGCCCGCTGTCCAAACAGCCCCTCAGGCTGTGCCGGCAGACAAATTCACTGATCAGCGACTCCATCGGCGTTTCTTATCCGATCGTTGATGGAATTCCTCGCCTTGTCCCCACAGACGGCAAGGTATTGGACGCCGATGAGACCCCAATTTCCGGCAACGTTAACAGTGTGAGTGAGAAACCCCATTGTTGAAAAGTGAGCCTTTTCTCCCCTTTTCTTTTGTAATAAATTGCAATTTGTTTTCTACTTTTGTATCATCAATTTGTGATGTTCTCTCTGTATTTCCCTCTTACTTGTTTTGATTAATCCACGTCAAAAAGAATATGATTGGTGCACCTTTTAGATGATGAAAGTTGGCAAATGATGGTAGCTCTACTGTTTTGATCTGATTTAGTAACAGAGAGTATTGTTCAGAAATTGTTTTTTCACAATCAGCATCTGGAATGAGGCCTGTTTTCTAGAAAAGAAATTCACTGTGCATCATTCACCAACGATGTTTATTCTCTTGCGGTAATTTTGAAAACTTGCACTGAGATTTGGTGTTAGTTACTCCAAGCTTCGAAATTTTTACCGTAGTCTGTAGAGAACGGAAGATTCTGTAGCTGACCTGAAATAATCCCAGTGTGTGTAGTCTATGATTTCTTTTGGCTTTTGCAGTTCAGAAAAGTGAGAAGTATTTGAAGAAAGCTCACTTGACAAAGCTTTTCTCTGAGTAGTATCCTTTTCAAATGATTTTTCTTGTATTGCATAGTAAATTCCTTTCTATTACCTTGGGATTTCCTTCTTGAACCATTGTGTGTTCATGTTGCAGTTTCTTTTCTGCAGAATTATAAGGAATGATAACTTGTGCATTGTACTTATCTATTGAAGACACATTGTTTTCTTATTTAAAGGACAGATTTTGTGAAAGATGGAATTCTTCAAAATGGGTAGTACATCTGTAACATAATTAAATCCATGAAATAATATGTTAAAGCTGTCTTAACTCGTGTGAATACACGAATGCCATTATATACAGCTAAGCAAACTCAATCCGACTCATGCACATTTGTGATCAATATGTATCGACATTTGAAATCTGCATTTCTAATGACTTTGTGTGTTGTGACATGTCGATAGTAAAAAATTCGACCTTGATTGACGATTCTTGTTAGAAAACTTTTGTATTTTGTCCCAAACATATTGAATTAATGCTCAACTTTTGTATTTTGTCACAACCATATCGACATATTGAGTTAAGAATGCAATTTTGCCTAGGGCTTTCAATAAAGCTACTGCCTTTTTATGCATGTTATTGGACAATATTGTTATACTTGTTTAGTGTGGGGCATTTTCTGCATTCTTATTCTCACACTTCTAATTGTAGTTTTGACGGTGAGTTCTTGTGATTACAAGCAACTAAGCAAGATTCGTGCACCTTGTGATTTCTCCTTCATGAAGTTGTCCACAGAAGAAAAGAAAAGAAAACGAACAGTTATTTTCTGTTTTCGCTTCAACAGAAGTTTTTTCTGTACCTGAATTCCCAGTGCTAATAGGATCATAGACTGTTACAAATAGTATGCAGTATTTGTACTGAATCTTGAATCTTAGAGCATCTTCAATGGAAATTGTGTTGTATGACATGGAGAAAGAAAATTAAAAAATTATAATGGTTAGTGTTAATTGTGGTATCATTTGTGATGTGTAAAATTGTAATTGGTTGGAGAAGATAAATTGAATAAATAATATAATATATAATATAAGTTGTTTAGAAGGACTTCTACATCTAGAAAGCCGTCTAGACTTTTTCCATGCCATATAAGATTTTTTGTGCCATGTGGTGACAAAATAAAGCAATGGAAAGACCATTCGAGATGCTCTTATTAGAACGACATTTTATATATACAGCTGGGATCATCTATTAGTTTTTCAAGTCCCTAAACGTGGCTAAACCAAATAAGCCGAACGAAACTGTTCTCTAACATTCGAAAATCGAGTCGTGTTACTTATTAGGTTTTTTTTTAAATTATTATTTGTATCTTTTGGTTTTGTGAATTTTCCCTTCAATCTTCAATTTTTTCACAATCCAATATCTGAGTAGCTTGCTTAAACTTCAAATTGTAATAATAATAATAATAATAATTTTAGTATCAACTGATCCTTAATTTGATAATACATATTATAACATGTATATCTATATGCAAATGATTTATGGATGGTGTACATAAATCACCCTTTTTTATTAGACAAGGGAAAAAAGAGAGAGAGAGAGAGAGAAACAAGTGAAAGAAATTAGAAGGAATAGAAAACAAGACACCCTCCAAAAAAGAAGGAAAAATGTGTAATGTGATGCATTTTACTCTCCAAAAAGAACTCTATTCTCTCTCCTTCATCTTCTTCTTCTGCATCTTCACCACCATCATAACCACCGTCACCGGTTTCAACAACGTCACCACACTCACGTTCGAGGACTCGTATTCTCCTCTCTTCAGCAAATTCAACATCCAACGATCTCCTGATGATAGGACCGTTCGCCTCCTCCTCAATCGTTTTTCAGGTACGTACATATTCATCTACGTGCATGATTGATGAACAAATAATGTATGTGAAAATGTAATCAAAATACTTGTTGGTGTGGAGAAGAATTTGATGATCTTAACAATGATTTGTTTGTGCGTGTGTGAATTTTGTACACTTAATTGACCTAAAAAATAAGTGATTTGATCATGCATGACAATCGATTTGTTCATCGCCAGGCTCTGGAATCATATCGTCCGACTATTACAATTACGGCTTCTTTAGCGCGAGCATCAAGATGCCATCCGAACACACTGCCGGTATCTGTGTCGCGTTCTATGTAAGTACATAACCGAACTCAATTAATCGAAATATGCATAAGAATCCTAGAGCAAAATGGCATGATTACTAATGCATTCTCCGAAAAAAAAAAAATTGATCTTTAGACTTCAAATGTGGACACGTTCGAGAGGAACCACGACGAACTAGACATCGAATTTTTGGGCAACATAAAGGGAAGGCCGTGGAGGTTCCAAACAAACATGTACGGCAACGGAAGCGTTTCGCGCGGGAGGGAGGAGAGGTATCGAATGTGGTTCGACCCCACCAAAGCCTCTCATCGATATAGCATTCTTTGGACCCCAAGAAACATAATGTGAGATTATCCCTTTCTAAAATATCAATTAGTACACATCACTTCTTTACTACAACATCTCATCTAGTCATGTCCACGGGCCGATCTGGCCCGGTCAATCCCGTTGACCGGGGGCCTTGAATCGACTGGTTGTTACCCGAACCAGTTCAGGTTCATCATTTTTCACAAATTGAACCGTCAATTACAGTTCCGAACTGGAACCGGAACCGGCTGTTCGGCGAATTTATAAATTGATTTTTTTGTATTTTTTTTATTATTTTTTAATTCGCCGGTTCAGCTCAACCGTGAACCGCCAGTTCAGAAACCAGCAATTGGCCACCTCTAAATTCTCATCCATCGTGCGTAACTTGTTCGACTGACTCAGATTCTACGTGGACGACATCCCGATAAGGGAAGTGGTCCAGAACAAGGACATGAGAGGGGACTACCCGTCGAAGCCGATGTCCGTCTACGCCACCATATGGGACGCGTCGACTTGGGCCACGGGCGGTGGCCACGACAAGGTCAACTACGAATACGAGCCGTTCGTGGCCGAGTTCAAGGACCTCGTGCTCGAGGGGTGCGTCGTGGACCCCACGGACCAGATACTGTCCTCCAACTGCACGGACTCGGTTTCGAAACTGATGTCGAACGAGTACGCGGGCATCGCGCGGCGCGGTCGGGAGTCGATGAAGTCGTTCCGCGAGAAGTACATGTATTACTCATATTGCTACGACAACTTGAGGTATGCGGAGCCGCCGCCCGAGTGCGTGATCGTGCCTTCCGAGAGGGAGATGTTCAAGACGAGCGGGCGGTTGAGGGAGAAAATGAAGTTTCACGGCAGCCACCACGGCCGCCACCGCCGGGGGAGGAGCCGGAGGAGGAGCAAGGAAGGTAGTACAATGTGATGATGGTGAAATAGTGCTACAATACA